ATTTAGCTAATCAATGTTCTTTTTGAATAATCCATACAGACTAGGTTTCTGTCATCCATAACTAAAGCAATTCTGACTAAAACAAGGTCTCATGGCCAGGAAGTGGCAGCATTTGGATCAAAGCCCAGGATCTTAACCACTCTATTAAACTGGCATCATCTCCTGCTCTAATCTTCATGCCAGTTCCTAGCAGCAACCCACGCCCATCAATAATCCCAACAGCTCACATTTGCTGAGGGCTTGACAGCCCAGAAATGTGTGCTCTCGCACACATCATCACTTTTCTACAAAAAGGAATTGAGATATACTTCACATACCATAAAACTCACCCTTTTAAAGTGTACAATTCAGTGGTTTTTAGTATATTTACAAGGTTGTGCAACCATGACCACTATCTGATTCCAGAACAATTTCATCACCCCCAAAAGATACCCAGTACCCACTAGCAGGCTCTCCTCCTTTCTCCCTCCCCCTGGTTCCTGGCAACCACTAATCTGCTTTCTATCTTTATGGATTTGCCTCTTCCGGACACACGTCATCACTTTTAACTCCAGAGGAGCCTTGTGAAGCAGTGACTCATGAGGGGCGCACAGCACAGCTGAGTGGCTGAGACTGTGACCCCAGTGTTGCCTGCCCAGCTTCAAATCCAAGCTCTAATGCTCACTGGCTGTGTGACCTTGGGCAGATGCCCGAACCTTTCTGAGCCTGGGTTTCTTCATCTGTACTATCTGATAAGCTTGACATGAGGATTAAACAAGTCATTTCATCTCGAATGTTGAGTGGGCAACATCCCAGGAATGCCAGCTGTTGCTACTATGGCCACCCCACGCTACTGATGAAGAAGTCACCATCGGGCACAGAGGGGTTAAGGGGTGCGCCCATGGCCACACAGCACAGGTGGCTGGGTCCCAAGTCTCCTGACCGAGTCCTCTGCTGTTTCCATTACGCCACACTGGCCGAGCTGCTCCTCCACGAAAGATCGACCGTCCCCTACACCCTGAGCCAAGCTGCTTCTGAAAAAGCCAAGGCTACTCGCCAGCCAGGAGTGGGGGCGGGGTGAGTCATGAAATCACCCGACTTCAGGGTGCTGTGGTCCCATGCGGGCGGGCCTCCTCCTCGCCCGGTCCTTGGGATCAGCCCACTTTGGTGGGTGGGGTCCTGCCTTGACTTCTTCCAGTTTCCCCCAATCCGGTATGGGGTTGGAGGCAGGGCAGGCCCCTCTGGAATTTCAGGACTCTCCCAGTCCAGCTGCCCATCTGGAACTCTTTAAAGCTCCCTTAAGCCCTGCCTCTAGACGACTTTGTTATGGGAGTGGAGTCTCAGGCGGCTTTATGTCACAGTAAACCTCCAATTATTATCTATTATGGCGAGGCGGGGAGGAAACCTCACTTTTAAGTTCTGGGAGAAGTAAGAAAGTTGAGTTAGAACAGGAGAGTGGAAGGAATACAGGCTCTGGGCCAGGGCGCTCTGGGATCCAGCCCCGCCTCAAATGTCCCCAAATGATGTCCCTTTGGGCAGGTCCCATCTGAGCACAGTGACAGCAGATGGCTGCTACTGCTCGCTGAGCCCGGCACCGCTCAGGGAGCTGTCACAAGAGATGTGGGGAAAGTGCGTTCATTCTTAACACGGGGGTGGGGAAACAGGCTCAGAATCTGAGCGGTGACACCAAGTGAGACCGAAAAGGCAAAGCTGAGACAGGAACCCAGGTCGGCCAAACCCCAGAAGCCAAGGTCAGAAGCCTTGAGCTCAGCTGGGACGGGCGAACCGATGACCCAGTCAAACTCCCCACACAGCGCCCGGCCCACGGGTGAGTGGGCCGCAGGAGCGTCTCCACCCATGCCTCCTGGGCATCCTCCTCACCCTCTTCCCATGAACTTCCTCCTCCAGGCCATGCTGTTCCACCCGCTCCACCCTCAGGGCCACAGATGACAGGCTCGGGGGTGGACTCTGACCCCGGACACTGACACTCAGGTGCTCTCTCTCAGACACTGGAATCGGCACCCAAACTCCAGCGCCTGAACATGGGGAAGGGCACTTCACCTAGGGAGTGAAGGTGATGATTTGGGGATGTGGGTCAACGGGCCAGCAGAGGAAGCTGGCCCAGAGGGGTGGGCAGGAAAGGGAGCTTGTTAGGAGAGTTTCTGGTCATGTGATACATGGCCTGGGGGCTTCTGGAGGGTCATTCTATTGCTGGCTCTGGGACCCTGTGAAGCCAACTACACTCCTCGCTCTGGGTTCCATGGGGGCACACCTGCCTCCTTGAATCAATCCACCCCATTTCTGTCTGCCTAAGCTAGCTGGGAGGGTGTCTGTCCTGTGCACGCCATTATTCTCTAGGTGAGCAGTCACCCACGTCACCCATCTCTGCCCCCTCTACTCCTTCTTGGATGCATCAAGCAGGGAAGAGGCCTCTGAAAGCAAAATGCAGGTAGCACTCCCTGCTCCCCCCAGAGCAGACCCTCAGTGCATAAAGAAAATCAGTCTAACAACTTGCAAAATATTTACCCAACACCTATGCTTTAGAGATCTGCCATAATGGGTCTGCATAAATCACCCCTGTGTCTGGGAAGAGGGTGTGGCTCTCCATCAGTTTCACACAGGACTGAGGTTCGGCTTATGGTGCCTGGAGGCACTGGGCATTACAGCTATCACCTTCCCCGCCTTTGTCCCAGGGTCAGCCCTACCCTACTCCCCCTCACCAAGCCTGTGTCAACTCCTTCCTTTATTTATTTACTGGCTGTGCCACATGGTTTGTGGGATCTCAGGATCTTAGTTCTCCAATCAGGGATTGAACTTGCGCCCCCTGCAGTGGAAGCATGGAGTCTTAATCACTGGACTGCCGGCGAAGTCCCCTGCCGAGTCAATTGTGGATAGTATCTTAGCATCTTTAACACAGAGCCTCTTTGGGTATTGACATTTGGTACAATGTTTGCTGTGGACCAGAAGAAAAATATTGTTTGTATATGATCCTGTTTGGTTTTATTGCATCACTGGGTTCATTACATTTTAAGTAGTTAGGCAACAGGGGTTAACTGCTGGCCCACGTACAATGACTCTTGGCAGTGTGTAATGTAGACTGTTCGGTGATGCTGGGGAAACTGGTTAAGAGCACATTAACTTTGCTCCTCCCCCTTTAAAATATTGGAACACAGGCTCTGAAAATCTTCTGTCTGACATTTTCAGGAACAGACTAGGTCTGTTCAACCAAGGATGCCTGTGGTCAGTATCACCTAACCTTCAGAAAGAACATGGGAGGCACAGAGACAGGCTGGTGTGTGGAGGACCAGGGCCCTTCTGACGGCCCCACAGTGCCTTCCCTACCACGGATCACAGCTGTTCTCTCCACGTCTCAGTTCCCAGCCCTGTGACTGGGAGGCAGGGCAGGGACTGGCTAAGTCTACTGGCCATCACATTCCTCAGCCCTATTGACTGTCTTAGAGATGAGCCTACAAAACACTGTGTTTGCTGGCACTTCTGTGAAGTGACCTTTCACTCTTTCCTGCTGAGTGTGAGCCCAGAGCATTTTGCAACCACATGAGACCTGAGATAAAGCCAATGCCAGGGAACTGGGAATCCAGGACAAGAGAGAGAAGCTGGACAAGAGGACACAGTGGAAAACCCTGGATCAAGCTGTGCCTGAAGCTTGCCAGTTTCCCTTTCCCAGGGCATTCTATTACAATAGTCCCCTAAATCTTCCTATTTACTTAGGCCAGTTTGAGTTGGGTTTCCGTCATCTGCAACAAAACCAGCCTAATTGGCACAGAGGAAAAGAAGACAGTCATCTCCACGAGGCCTTACACTGGCCTGCCAGGTATGCGAACCCCTCACCACATGGAAAGGAGCACGTGTGAATTCAGGAAGCCACGCAAGTTCCCATCTCCTCCTAAGGCCTGTGTTTTCTAAAGAAATTTGCTACATGATCTCAGGCACTGTGACTTCTCGAGACACACTTGCTCTGACTTCCTGGCCGTTGGGGATGTCAGGATAAGGCTACTGATCCATGGATTAGAGGTCTTTTGCCCCAGTGGGGCGGGGCTTGCACAGAGCTGTGCAGAGGCTCCGCACGAGACTGGTGGTGCTCAGTGTGGATATTAGTTCGTCCCTTTGTTCACTTGCTCATTCATCCATTCACAGATGCTGACTGGCTATATACAGTGTCCTTGAGTGAAACATGAAGGAGGGAGAGGATGAAGAAGACGCGGTTCCTGCCCACAAGAGCCATGGATTAGAGCGGGACAGGCAGACAACTTCAACAGAGTCAGGACAAAGCATGCAGAGCTGTCGGGGCAGAGGAGACGTGGCTCCCGCTGGCTGGGAAATGAAGCCAGACCAGTCTCTCCAGGGGCTGAGAGTCCTGAAGGGCGGTGAGCCGACAAGGGCCTGGAGGGTGGAGGAGGCGTTTCTGGCGAGGACAGGCGCGAGGAAAGGGCAAGTGCGAAGCCCTCAATACACAGCAGGTGTTTCAGGGGCTAAGCATGGAGCCTGATGGGGAGAGGAGGCCAAGGTGAGGGAAGGTTTGGGTCTGTCTTGAGAGCACAATGGCCCCTGATTCTGATCACACATAACTCACTATCAAACATGACTACACAAGTTTAAGACCTGAACGCCAAAGCCAAACACAAACAATTTCCAGACTAGCCTCCATTCTAGAGCAGTCAACAGGAGGCTTTCTTTTATTTGAAAAATACTGAATATCAAAGCAAAAGCAATACAGCCCATCACTTATGTCCCCAAAGTGATAGACACCTTAATTTTCTTTTTTTAATATGGAATGCTCCACAAATTTGTGTTATCCCTACACAGGGGCCAGACTCATCTTCTCTACATCTTTATAGTAGATGTGGTGCTGAGGTGAGCACATGGACATCATTTTTAAGTCTAGAAAATAAATACTGTGCATCCACTGTGGGTGAGGATCCAGGCTCTGAAGTCAAAGCGGAAAGAAGGTCCATACACACTCTTTCCCACCCTGCAGCTCCCTGGAGACCCCACATCCTTACCTGGAGATCGAAGAACTTGCTGTAGCGCCGGTAAATGGCCTCCGTAGAGCCACTGGACCAGGTGACCCGGATGATGTAGACCTGCAGGGGGGAATGGAGACAGCCGTTAATCTCCATCGCCAGGAGCCTAGAGCAAAGCACAAGGCTCAGAGGCAGAAAGGCCTGGGTTTGACTCTCAGCTCTGCCCCCGACCAGCTGAATGACTTGGGACAGGCTACTCGCCCTCTCTGAGACCCAGCTTCCTCTCCAGTAAAATGGGTATAATACCCTAGCCTCTGAGAGTTGTGCAAAGGATCATAAGAAATCTAGTCTAGGAAAGCATAAGCACCCTGCTTATCTCAGGAGATGCTGCTGTTTTTTAGGATTTCTTACTCTCCACTCAATTCAGGGAGCTATCGGGCTGGCTATTTCGTCAGCATCATTCTTAAGACTTGGATTTGTCAGAAGTCACAGCAACCTGTGGCTCTCAGCTCTCTTGTGTTTCTCATAAGCTTAGCCATCAAGTCATTTCCTCCAGCTGGGGCCTGGGCCGAGTCATCACTTCCCTCTATGTGACAGTTTCTCCATCCATAAAGTGGGTTAATACCATCTGTTTCTGCTGCCTACCAGGACAGCGCGAGGCTCCGATAAAGCAGAAGATGGGAAACCACTCTACAGACCACAGGGCCATGTTTCTAACCTCTGTCACTAACTGGAGCACGCACAGAAAATAAAAGACATCGACAACAAACTCGGGCAAACCAAGGTGACGACGGAGGCCAGAGGCCTCTGGCTGGGGACTCTGTGGCCCTGGGCACCACCTGGGCACTCAAGGGGTGAGGGGTTAGCACATCCATTCCTGCTTTGCACAAATGACCTGGGGTTGCAGGGCGCCGTGACATGTAAAACATACATGTGTGAGAGCCGTCTAGAAACGGAAATAAACCTGAGGGGCTGGGTGTTGTTAGAGGCGGAGGAGTCCATGGGCAAGGCTTATGACTCCATGAGTGGAGAGTGAGCTGGGGAGACAGCATGTGCATAAATGAAGGTAAATAACATGTGGACAGTGGGAATCACTATAGACGGTGACTGCAGCCATAAAATTAAAAGACACTTGTTCCTTGGAAGAAAAGCTACGACAATCCTGCTGCTGCTGCTCCTAAGTCGTTTCAGTCATGTCTGACTCTGTGAGATCCCACAGACAGCAGCCCACCAGGCTCCCCCATCCCTGGGATTCTCCAGGCAAGAACACTGGAGTGGGTTGCCATTTCCTTCTCCAATGCATGAAAGTGAAAAATGAAAGTGCAGTTGCTCAGTCGTGTCCGACTCTTAGCGACCCCATGGACTGCAGCCCACCAGGCTCCTCAGTCCATGGGATTTTCCAGGCAAGTGGGGCGCCAGAGTGGGGCGCCATTGCCGTCTCCAATGACAATCCTAGACAGCATATTAAAAACCAGAGACATCACTTTGCTGACAACGGTCCATCTAGTGAAAGCTATGGTTTTTCCAGCAGTGTTGTACCGGTGTGGGAGCTGGATCATAAAGGCTGAGTGCCAAAGAACTGACGCTTTTGAACTGTGGTGCTGAAGATTCTTGAGAGTCACTTGGACTGCAAGGAGATCCAACCAGTAAATCCTAAAGGATATCAACCCTATATTCATTGGAAGGACTGATGCTAAAGCTCCAATACTTTGGCCACCCGATGTGCAGAGTTGACTGATTTGAAAAGACCCTGATGCTGGGAAAGACTGAAGGCAAGAGGAGAAGGGGGCGACAGAGGATGAGATGGTTGGATGGCATCACTGATTTAATGGACATGATTTTGAGCAAATGCCATGGGATAGTGCATGAGGTTACAAACATTCAGACACAACTGAGTGACCGAACAACTACAGTAGACAACATTATTTTTTGCATTTAAATTTTTGTTAAATTGGAGCATAACTGCTTCACAATGTTGCATTGGCTTCTGCCACACAACAATGTGAATCAGCTGTGAGTATACATACATCCCCTTCGTCCTGTGCCTCCCTCCCACCCCCAGCTCTATGTCATTGCAGAGTGCTGACTGAGCTCCCCGTGTTAGACAGCAGCTTCCCACGAGTCACGTTTACACACGGTAGAGGATACACGCCAATGCCACTCTCTCAGTTCTTCCCACCCTCTCCTTCCCCTGCCGTGTCATTATTTTACTGTGTTGATAAAGCTTTCTTTCAACCAGAGTGCCTGGACTTTTCTCCTGGGAACCTCCTTTCCCCCCTCAACATGGTCCTTTAGGCACCACGCCGGATACCACTGTCCATAGTGACTGGTTAAGGAGTGATCATACGACTCATGCCAGGCCAACCAGAGCCATGAAGAATCAGCTCTGGGACTTGTGCTCCGACCTTGAGAAGAACAAGGTCTCTTTTCCTTGAGGTTGCTCTGCTGTTAGTTCACGACCTGGAGCTGCTGGGGGACTATCTCATCATCACTGAGGAGGAATGTGCCTGAGAACGATGCTAGTAGCAGTAGGTTTCTCCCAGCCAAGTACTAACCAGGCCCGAGCCTGCTTAGCTTCCGAGATCAGACGAGATCGGGCTCGTTCGGGGCGGTAGGGCCGCAGACTGTCAGTGGATTCCGATGACACAGTCTGACCTTAGGGCCAGCTCTGCACGCGGCTCAATCAGCTCCTGGTCTCTCCAGTTTCCTGAGCCAGTAAATCTTGGGCCACACCCACACTCCGGATTATTTTTGAAGCCAGTTTGAGTTGGGGTTTTGACACATGTAATTTAGTCCTGTGAACTAGACTGGCACAGGAAGAGGCGGCAGGAGAGCACTCTGAAGCTTGAAGCCATTGTGGTGTGCCTCGAAGGGCAGGTCGATGCAGAGAGCAGGAGGGGAAGGGAGAGGCGGCGGGCGGCGGGGGACGGCGGCGGAGCAGAGACCAGCTCAGGGAGTACAAGGGCCAGGCCGGCAGGGGTCTCCAAGGTGGTTTTAAACAAAGTCTCTCCCCAAATGAGTTCTTGCTAGGATAGCTTCATTCAAAACGGGAAAAGGAGGACCAGCTTTGGGCAGAGGGAGCCAGAGCCCATTGTAAACACTGGGGGCTGAAGGGAGAAGGTTCTCCCAGTGAGAAGACATGAAAAATTGATAGACAAATCAGGACAAGGTGGGAGGTGCCCTTGAATGCCCAATTCAGAGGTTCACTGGGAACAACCTCTCTAAATCCAACATCTATTTCATTTCAGTGAGGCAAGGCAGGGAGGAAAGAACTTGGGATCTAGAATCAGTTTCCCAACCCCCAGAGCCTCAGTTTCCTTATCTGTAAAATGGAGTCATCAAGCCCATCTCACATAGACTTATGATGATTATCAGAGATAAAGCTCTGAGCTCCTTGCCTGGCAGAGAGGAAAGGTTCAAGAAGCCTTAGTATCCTGCACTCTGATTCCCCAGTGCCTACCCAGCCTCTGTTTTAGAAAGAAATGATTTCATGATTTCACAGGGATTCACGCATCTTGGCCCTTTTCTCTCCCTTTTTTCTCCCACTAGTCCTGGGTCGCTTATGGAGCCAAAGAACAGGTCAAGGCATCCTTTGGGACACAGAATCACCCTGGAAAAGTGATTTTACAACAAAAAGAGTTGTTATCAAAGCCACCCCAATAGTCATCAGTGTTATGAAAAGGAAAACACCAATTCTGCTTCACTAGAATGAAGGAGATAGTCAGAGAGTCGGAACCTACTCTTAGAGAGTGGGAAGACAGGCAATAAACCAGCTGATGAAGAAATATGTGTGTAATTTAAGTTACAGTCAGTGCTAGGAAGGACCCCAAAGCCCGCTGTGACAGTGCAAGACAGGAGTGGTGGGGGTGGGTGTTCCTGGAAAGCAAAGTCCCTCTGAAGCAGACTTTGAACTGACACCTGAAAGATGACGAACTGGCCGGGAGAAGAGCTGAGGAATGTGTATTCCACACAGAAAGAAAAGTGCAGACAAAGATGTGCAGGCTGGAAAATGCTTGGCATGTTTGAGGAACCAGAAGACCATTAAGGCAGAACAGAGCTGGCGGGGAAGGGGGTGTTCCCAGGAGGGGCAGCGGTGGCATCACTGCAGGCTTATAAGCCAGGGTGAGGAACTTTATTCTGTTGAAGGTTTGAGAGGCGCAGGGGTTGGCGAAAAAGGATGAGAAATAATTTAATGTATGTTTAAAAATAAATATATATGTAGATATATATACACACATGCATACCTCTGGCTGTTGCGCAGAAAATGGTTTTGAAAAGCGGCAGGGAAACTAGTAAATGGGCTTTTCCACATCTGAAAGGGACCATGGAACTCAAGTCAACGCAACGGTCCCACCTTCCAGACGGGTAAATTGGGGCCCAGCATATACCTTACCAAGAGTCCCCATCCTGGGGGATGTATAAGCAAAGTTTAGATGACTATCTGTGAAGAACAATGCCAATATGGATTAAAAAACAAGGAAAGAAAGATAACTGAAGATGTAAAAGCCAACACAAAGCATACACCCATAAATGGAAAAAAACAATTCTGCTTACACAATTCATTCCTGATCTCTTGCTTACAATTTTAAAAGTTCTGTCCCTATGGTACAAGAACTCTGCAGCAGATCTAATTGGTTTACTGGAATCAACCTCTGAACACAATTTGATGGCTTCAATTTTTAGGCACAGATCTAACTTTTTAATAAGAATTGTCCCACTGCAGGGCTTTGGCCTTGCCCAGGGCTTGGGGGCTGGTGAAAGAGCCTGTGTGCTAGGTTCTAACGCCAGCTCTGCTGTGGGTTGAAACTCACAAGGTTTATCAATCTCTCTGGTCACAGCCTCCTCCTCTCTAACATGGGGGCCACAGGAAACCAACTTACGGTTCCCAAGGGGTAAGTGGAGGAGGGATAAACTGGGAGGTTGGGATTGACATGTACACACTACTATATATAAACTAGACAACTGATGAGAGCCTGCTGCATAGTACAGGGAACTCAGTACTCTGTAATGACCTGTATGGGAACAGAGTCTAAGAAAGCGTGGACATGTGTGTAAGTATAACTGATTCACTGTGCCGTGTACCTGAAACTAACACAATGGTGTAAACAAGTATACTATAA